TATATACATATACATAGACAATATATCATTCATCATATATATATATAGACAGCTATGGCTGATGCCCGCATACAGTTCAAGGTGCTGAAGGGCTTTCCCACCCCGGCGGAGGATAAGATCGAGACGCAGGCGTTTCTGAATGCGGCCAAGGAGATTGTAACTGTAATTGGTAAGTTGGGCCAATGGATTTTTGGATCGATCGATCGATCATGCAAGTAATTGTTTATCTAAATACCCGCACAGAGACCTTTGGCAAACTCTTCACGCCCGTTATCAAAGATATGAATGGGAATATAAACGTAAGTCTGTGGACAGTAAATTGTCCATGTGTATGATCTAATGTCTTGATTATGCTTCGATTTGATAGAAACTAACCAAGGTCTATGGCACAGACATCCTGAAATACAAGTATCTGGAAGACATGATAGTGCTGAATGTGAATGTCGACGACTATGCAGCGACGGCGCTGCTCTGGCTGAAGCGCGGCCTCCAGCTGATCTGCACCTTCTTCGAGAACATCTACAACGATGCACAGAACAAGGAGACGCTTAAGCCGCATCTGCAGGATGCGTATGAGAAAACGCTGAAGCCCTATCATGGCTTCATCGTGCAGAGCACGATCAAGGTGAGTCCATTCCATCGCATCGCATCCATTTGCCTGCTCGATCGTAGCGCTAACAAACTTCGACCATGTTTACAGATCATCTATAGCTGGGTGCCCACGCGTAGCCAGCTGCTTGGCCAGGGACCAGCGCAGCTGGAGAACATGGAGGTGCTGACCAATTATTTGCCTACAATGCGAACGCATCTGGATCGGATTGATGCCCTACTGAAGGCGCACAATTTGGATGATGCGAGCAAAGTGTGATTTGCCATATGCTTTAGCTCTTTAGCCTAAGATCTACTAGAATAGACAATGCTTTAAATATTTAGGAATACACATAAAGAAACACACAAGCACACATACATATTTAATGTTTTATCACATAAACTTTATAGCTGCCCATTTGATTTAAGTGCATTTGTGTTCCTCTTGTCTGTGGCCAGGCTGCAAACGTGGCAGATGAGCGCCGTTAGCGCCTCCAGTCCGATGAGCACAAATTGTGCATGCGATAGCAAGTGCAGCCAGAGGTTGGCATAGACGACGGCCAGACGCAAGTAGACCAAGGCAGGCAACAGCACACAGGGCGTCAGTGTTAGAAACAGCCACATGGTCGTGGCATTTGTGGTCAGATTGATGGAGTAGCTGGCATAGAGACGCAACCACTCAGTGCCAACGGCCAGCACGTAGGCCAGCAGCATGGCCAGACCCGTATAGTTCCACAGCAGATGCGACTGCAAGCATTACAGTTAGTTATAGAGTAGTTCCCAGTTAGGCCAACTCTTACCCAGAAGCAGAGATGCAGCAAATAGCTGACGCTCCAGAGTATTGAGACATAGGCGTTTGCTTGCAACAACATTTGCAAGATTAAATTCGACTTTTGTGGTATTACTGCAAGATTAATGTGTAATCAATTTCTATTTTTATTCAAATTAGTTTTCTTTTCACACAAACATGGCTGGCCATAATAATAGTAGCTGTTGCTACTTTTAATTTCCATATCCACTTCCATCTGTATGGGTGCAAAAACTACCAAATGCCGCTTTGCATTTTATTTACTTTGTTATTGCCGGCCTCGGTTGCCAGGACAACGATAAACAATGTTTGCTTGCCATTAGACAGAAATGGGGCTTTAACTAAATATTTATTTGCAATTCAAACAATTGCAGTTAACGTGTTGCCAATTAATTTTATGATGGGCAGCACTGCACAACATTTATCAAGATCGCCAATTGCATGTATCGATGCATATGTATCGATATGCAAAGTTGGCGCTGCCAGACTTACAACTAGTTTATTACAATATTAACGGACAGATGGAGACAGAGAGAGGGAGAAACGAGAAAGAGATAACGATGGAGAAGCTCAGCTTACTCCGTCTGGGTAAATTATTTATGAAAATTTAATCATGAAATATAAGGATGCCGTAAAAATTGTAATTTCGTTTTTTTAATGAATAAAATTCTAATAGCATGTCACAGCACTTAATATTTATATAAATACGCTTAATGTGATTTATTATACTACAATTGTAAATTGTACAATTAATTTATTTTATTTCAATACTTTATTTTAGATTAGCTGAGATTCGTTTAACAGGGCAGACTCGAGCTGATGGCCACCTCCAGAGAGTTTACTGCAAATAGAGAGGGATAGCGAAAAAGAGAGAGAGAGTCCGATTAGTTTGAGAATCGTGTAAATATTTTTGCGACTTGAAATATCACTTACAAAACTTTTGATCATGCTTGTAGACGAGATTCGTCAGGATGCCGGCCATCATCTGATGGCAACGTATATAGGTGCTCTCAATCTCGCCGACTTGATTGAGGGCCAAGTACTCCATGGCCTTGTTGGCCTCCTCGGTATGGTAATAGCTATCGGCTTCATCCAGACTCAGTGTATTGTCGGAGCTTATGTCGAGGCTGAGAGCATGGGACACATTCAGATAGTTGCCGCAGCTATTCCACTCCATGTCCAGCACAAATATCAAATGAAAGATCTGCTCCAGAGCACTGTGAAACTCATCAAATTCCTCGGTTAGCAGGCAGTGCTTGCATATGGAGTCCAGGTACTCCTCATGCAGTTTCGCCAGCTCACGTATCGTAAACACCTTCGGCAGCTGTTCCTCGAAGTGGGCGCCAATGGCCTGCAGCACATGGGTGCATAGATGTGTGTGCAGGCTGCTGATCATGCTGATCAGCCAGAAGCGTAAAATTTCCAATCGGCGCACCGTCAATCCAACCAGATCGAGCGGACCGTATACCTCTGTGCCCTTGCGCTTGATGAAGTGCATGTTCTCCAGCTTCCATATGGCCCACTTGACCTTCAGCATCAGACGCCAAATCCTGTTATAGGATAGCATTTGGTTCGCCGTAATGATGCGGTCTAGAGCCGGTGACATCATATAGGCCATAGCAATTGCATTCAGCGCCTCGTACACCTTGAGGGAATGAGCGCGCGAACGTGAGATGACCTCCACATACAGCTCACAGGCCATGTTCGGATAGTGACGGTCCAGAATGTCGTACAGTTCCGTGGTCAGGTCCGACGACGACGCCCAATTCTGACCGGACTCGATTTGGCGAAAGAGACTGATGTAGAACGGATACATTATATAGTCTGCCTGGAACATGAGCACGTGCCGCAGGAAGTGCACGTGGTCGGCTATGACCAGTTCCTCGCGATACCAATGCATCATATATTGGTTGGCTTGATCGCAACGCTGTCGCAGCACCTTGCTCAGAGCACGGGGCATCACTTGCGGCAGCTGCAGCTTGGTGCACTTCTCCAATGCTTCAAGTATGTCGAGCACCTGCAACGGCACCGGCTCCTGCTCCATTTTGATGGCACACGCCCGGTCGCTTCGTATGTGTTGATTGAACATGCCCATTAGCCGGCGATCGCCGACTCGGGCGGTGGCCATCAGAGTCTGGTCGAAAAACTGGGACAACTTGTGAGGGCTCGGATTTAAAATGCTTTCGCGCCGTCGACCCTTAGGCTGAGCGCAGCCAGCAAAGATTTTGAGCTCGTCAAAGTATTGCCTGATCAGGTCATCGTGCAGCGGCCTCAATTGGTGCGTGGAGTTCACCAAATCGCCCAGCAAATTGATGATCGCCAGCAATTCCTGTGTCTCGCCCGACTCCATGGCGTACGTGATGAGCAGCCTATAGAATTCACAGTGCTGCAGCTCCGCCAGAATTGCTTTGTGCTCCGACGGCGCGTCCTCAGGCAAGCGACGCTCGCATATGCCCTGGCCATCGGCGCTGCTGTATTCCACAATGAACTCGAGCCGGCTGTCATTCAGCTCGGCATGCCGCCACCAATTGTCGCTGATTTCACAGAAGCGCCGCAGCGTCATCAACAGCAGCGCGGTGACCATCTTCTGGTAGGTCACATGCATCCGAGTGTGCCTGTAGAGCTTGGTCAGCAGATAGGCGCTCCTCAGATGCGGCGGGGCATCAACAACGGCATCGGAAGCGACCAGCTGAAGCTCCTGCAGCTGCCTGAACTGCTCTCGCATTTGGAGCACAAGGCCGATCAGCGTTACGCCCGACTCCTTCTTGCCAGACGCCTTGTCCAGCAGCCGTCGCTCGAAGACTAACAGCTGCTGCACGATCGGCTGCATGAGATCGCGCAAGCCACCAGCGAAGCACTCCAGGGTGCCCGTTGTCGTCTTACCGCCAGTGGGGCGCAGCAGATCCTTGACCAATTGACGCAGCCGGTACATGGCCTGCAAGGCCGGCTGCACCTCCTCGTCCAGCGTGCTCTTGAGTGTGCCCTGTGGGAAGACTTAAATTGTCGTGGTTTGCACTACTTCGATGCATCGCAAATCACTCACATGGCTAACGCTGCAGATGGACACATTCGAGCGGACGCTAATTTCCAGTTTCTCTGGCCGCACCTCAAAGAAGCAACAATCGACGGGCTCGAAAAACATGAAGATGATCTCTCGGAGCAGGCACATTTCGTTGACCGTCTTGGGCAGCGACTGCTTGATCAGGCTGCGCGAATACCTATTCACATGCTGGACATGGGCAATGGCAAAGTTGGCACAGGGGTTTTTGGTTGGCGTCAGCGTATGGACATTGATGTCGTCGCGCCACCAATGCGAGTGGACCGCTTTGGCCATATGATCGACACTGTAATTGCTGACATCTATGGGCGGCCGTGGTGGCTCCAGCGCCTTCAGCTTGGGTAGTGTGCACCAGTTGTGGCGCGACTGTATGCCACTGAAGGAAATGTACTCCGGCTGTATAATGGTGAACGTTGTCTTTTTCTGCCCAGCTGGCCGCTGGGGCGCCGGTACATAGGTATTTGTGCCAATGGGATAAGCTCGGCAGTTGGCATACACTATCGCCATTTCCTTCTGATCCAGGCTCATCACGGCATCTTGCTCTGGCTCGTAGTATGAGCTCTCCTCGCTGCTGGTTTCCTCGCTCCAGTCCTTAAAGGGAACAATGCATAACATTACAACTTGAAAGTGCAATAAACGAAGGGATAACCTACACTTAGAGTGGTATCACTGTCGTAGTGTTCGATGGGAATCAAATCTTCGCGTAGATATGCCCCCCAATTGATTTCGAATTCAACAGGATTCGGTTTGGTCAGAAATTCAGGCGTATTGAAGGCCGGGGCTGATTGGATTGCAGCTCGTATGGCCAGAAGACGCTCCTCCATCAATAGCCGGTTGCGTCGATGCATCTGAATCGGTTCGTATGCCATGTGCAGGAGGAAATCAAGAATGGAATATTGTACATCCACTTCGTAGTGATCCTTCCACACTCCATGGTTCATAATCACAGAGCCCAAGAAGCGTACGGCTCTCGCCTGATGCATCAAGCCCTCATAGTGGAAGCGATCGACCAGATTTTCGACGGACCGGCTCACCTCATGACTGTTGGTGCTCAGGTAGCGATGGTTGCGTACCTTGTGCACTGCATAGTGCAATAGCGAGTTAAGCTTACCATTGGGTAACTGCAATAGTGTGCAAAACTCTTGTTCATTGAATGGAAATTTATTTATTTATTTATTTGACTTACGTCCTTTCCAACTAAGCACTTCACTAGCTTCTCCAATTTCCGCAAAACATCCGGGTAGCGTGGATCTTCTGCCATTCTTTAACTCTGGATGCTGTCAAAGCAATTGCGCAGTTGATTAAAATTCGCTCACATCAGATTAAAAACCAATAAGTTCGAACAAATGTTTTTGACAACTTATTTAAATGTTTCCTTTACGCATTCTGAGCAGCAATGCGCAAAATTGCGCAAAGCGCATTTAATCGAGTGACCATACCAACGACTTGGGGTGACCCGATATTTGTTATCGAAAAAACGTAAACAACTGTAAATTCCGACACTTGATTGGATTTTGTCAACGAAAAATGTGTCCAAATAATCGAACGGCTCAGCCCATCTATGTCATCCTCGGCTCCGGCGGACACACAGCCGAAATGTGTAAAATCAATCAGGCCCTAATGCAGCACGATGACCTTAAGCAATACCAATCCGTACGTTATATTGTGGCCAACAGCGACGACACTTCGGAAAAGCAAATCCGCTCCGCTTTGCCGGCTTTAAAGGACAGCGACTTTATACGCGTGCCGCGCAGCCGCAGCGTCGGCCAAAGTTGGCTCACCAGCATATTTACTACGCTGTGGGCCTTGCTCTGGAGCTGCTGGCTCGTTTGGCGCGATCGGCCCAAGCTCGTACTCTGCAACGGACCCGGCACCTGTGTGCCCTATTGCTATGCGGCATATCTATGGCGCCTGCTCGGCCGCCTGCCCGCCCACAGCAAGATCGTGTTTGTGGAGAGCTATTGCCGAGTCGAGACGCTCTCGCTGAGCGGTCGCCTTCTGTTGCCACTCGTGGACATGTTCGTTGTCCATTGGCCGGCGCTAGCGACTCGCTACGCCAAAAAGTCGAACTTGCGTTATTTTGGCAGAATTTTATAAGCAATTAAAAATAAATTGTATTGCAAAACAAACTGTATTGCCACTAGATGAATAATCCCATGGAGAGTATATGCATTAAGCTTATGGAAATGAACGGGAGTGCCCGACTGGCAGACACCCTGATCCCTGGCCAGAGCTGCACTTCGAATCATTCATGTTCCATCCAGTCTACCTCTCTTGCATGTATTGTTTTGTCTCACTCCATTTCATGGCATCTAGTGCTCTCAACCAAAGTTATCTCTTTCTATATACATATGCATATACACACATATATACATATGCCACCCCTCCTTTGTTTATATTGATATGCAATGACTTCCGTTAACACAATAAATTTTCGCAGCATACATACATATATTATAAATATAATTTTTTATTTGTTTATTTTTTTTCCAGCCTCAACTAGTTTAATGTGTGTAAAAAAAAAATAAATGGAAATTTAAGATGAGCGAAAGAGAGTTGATAAACAAAAATATTTGAATGGGCACATCTAAAACTTCCGATATTCAAGCAGAAAATACCTAACGGACAACTTGAGTAGTATACATAGATATAGCTAAATTATTTGGAGCGCTTGCAGATGTTGCGATGCGCTTCCATTTGGTGGCCAAGCAGCTCCTGGCCGCATTTGGGACACTCTGTGGTCTGCTTGTAGAGTGAGCGCTGGCGCATCTGACGCGGTGTCATGTCATTCTCACTGGTCCTGGCCGACTCACTGGACGAACTGGATGAGCTGAGATCTAAGGCAGCAATGTCGGCACTCGAGTAGCCGGAGCTCTTCAAAATCTGACGCTTTGATGTTGCGGACTTGCGCTTGTTCACCTTTGGCTTATGTTTGTTGTTTGGCTTGTTGATGCTGTTGCTGTCGCCAGGCAGTGGGGCGTTCGGCTTAATGGTTGGCGGCGGCACCCTGATGGTGATGCTGCAGCCGTCAAGATGATTGGAAAACTCGGAACGCTTCATTTTCTCAAAGCAAATGGGACAGGTGGTTATGTCGTTGCCAGCATCGTATTGATAGCGCGAACTGCAGGGCACCACATCATTCTCACGCTGGAACTCCTGCAGGAGCGTGTCCTCGCCGAACAGATCATCGATGATCGACTGATCGGCCAGCTCAGCGGCAGCACTCAGTTCACTGATGCTATCATCGTACTCATCATCAATCATGAAGATTTCATCGTCCCCATACAGCGTCTCATCCTCCATCACCTCACGCTTGATGTTGATGGTGCGCTCCTGGCTGGACAATTGTGAAGTCTTCTTGGCAACGTTTGGTGTCGGCGCCTTGGGCACCGGCTTCACATCGTCGTCGCTGTCTGAAATATTAATGACAGGCTCGACCACATCGCATACCATTACATCCTTATCGTAGGACACCCAGCCGTCGATATTTTGGGAAACCCGACGACGCTTGCTTGGATTGTTTTGCTTGAATTCTGGCTCCTGCTTGATCTCCTTCTTCACCTTTACCTCCATCTTCTCCTTCTTTTGATTATCGTTTTCGAAACGCTTTGACCACACCTCACGCAAATGATTGCGATTGACAGTGTCCGACAAGCGAGCAGGGCTGGCAGTGGCGTCGGTACTGCCGTTGGTCAAACTGTAGCCCTTGCCGTGCATTTCATCTCGGTTCGATGAAGTGGCTTTGGTATCGCCTTTGCTGTCCTCGTCGGCGCTACTTAGATCGATCAGGTCTTTGAAGCCAACCACATTGTCACGCCTCTTGGTGCCAGAGCTTGGCGCGAGGCCACCAAGGGGGTTGTTCGATAAGCCCGGATATGATGTGGGCGGAAAGGCACCCGGCAGACCGAGAGCCGGCTGCACTTGTGGCAATAGGTTAACTGTATGTTTTGGCTTGCCAAAATAGTTGCGTATATCATCACCAGCTGTTGTTGTTGTTGTTTCATTCTTGAATTTGGTTGTGTACTTCGGGCCTTTGGGTTTTGGCATTGATTTGCTGCCAGGTGGCTTGGGTGGCTCGCTCACCTTTTCGAAGGTGCCGCCGCAATCGCGCTGATGCTTGGCCCACCATTGATCGCTCGGGCCGGGCGGGCGGTTCGAGGTGCGCTTCACCCAGCCCTGGAAAGGATTGTGATACTGGCAGACTCCATTGCAGCGCCAGATGTGAGTCTTATAGGCATCCACCTCATCGTGAAAGGTATGATAGACAGTAATATTGGTGCCAGCCACTTTATTAATGATGCCCATGATGCGCTTAAAGTTTGGTCCATGTCCGCCATTACCCTCGCGTATATTGAGCACAAAGCAATAGGCGTGTATCATTTCGTGCTGTCAAAATGGAACACAAATCGCATAGATTCAGATGATATACCGAAAAGCATAAATGGGTTTCGTGAGCTCACCAGTAATGTTTCGACTAAGTCCTTGCGTGGACGCAGCTTCAGCAGCGGCTCACTGAGCCGTATGATTACCTCCTTAACGAATCGATTACCACGCTGATAGCAAATGCCAGCACAGGAATACATGCGCTTGCTCCACTCCACAACAACGGCGCCCAGACGCTTCTGAAAGAACTTCTGATCGAAGCGGACAAACATGGCAAATATGTCGGGTGTGGGATCAACTAGCTCCCACTCCGGATGCACTAGATTTTGTGTCTGATCCAAATAGTTATTGTAACCAACTGGCGAAGAGCTGGGTGCCTTCATTAGGTCCATATTTTCCTTGCGCTGCATACATACATCAAGATAAGGTTTAATAGAAATAAGAAGCGTTGCAATGGGAATTGTGTTATATTTACGCTTGGAGGTGTGTCCTTGTTTAGATCTCTATTATTTTTGTTGTTGTTATTCTTCGTGTTGTTGCTGCTGTTGCTAGAACTTGGTTTAGAGCTGGTCATGTCGAGGGCAAAGACTTCTTCATTGTCAACAGTCTCATTGTCGCTGACGTCTGCATCTTCGGCATTTATTTCGGCCTGAAGCTTCAGAGCCAATTGGTAGTCACTATCATCATGACCAGACTCCATCTCAGGCTTTTCCTAATCACAGAGTAACAAATTCAGACTTTTGTCTTTTGTGTGTGCAAAAACTGCGTTGTAACTTACACGAGCTGTTTCCGACTTGCTGTCAGATTTTTCGCCATTGAGCTGCTCCTGTAATTTCAGTGCAAATAAATAGTCCGGATCATCGGACATTTCGTATACAGTAAATGTAATTCGATGCGACCCGGCTACAATAGGCAACGTCAACGTTCTTTAAAATTCGCAACAATGTCGCGGCTAATGCGCGGCCAGAATACAGCTGTGTGATTTGGAATTTCTGGCAGCACCGTACAAGTATATTTTTCGATAAATATTTGCTGCCCTCTGTTATTATGTTATGACGACATGTTATATTGAAATGACAAATGTTTCAAATTTTTCTACTTTTGAAACTAAATATTGCAGGCCTACTTTTCTAACTGCTACTACTATTAAGCCTACAGCAGCAATTAAT